CCCCCCCCCCTGGTGCGTAGTGCCTGGTGCTGGTGCGTTACCCTTTGGTTTTTTCTTTGGGCGGGTGTGGGAAGCGTCCTCCTTCGTTATTGTTTTTGTTGTATTTTGATCGGTTTCCGAGGGCTCTTTTCTCGAACGGTCGGTGCGATACCTGTTCTTTTCTTGCTATCATTTTGTTTTCTTTTTCCGAGTGGTTTGTACCCTATTTTTGTTGTTTCCCCGCGGCGTCGTATGTGCCGGGTTTTGAGACCACGGTCTCCCCATTTTTTGTGGACTATAGAGCTAATGTGAGAAACAACAACAACAACAACAACAACACCTCACAGCTGTGGCATTGGCCTTACAAAGCATTCCGGGCAAGTTCAATAGCATTGCTCGACAGCGAACGGAAGACGCTCACTCAGGCACCCTTTGCAGCTTTGGCGGTCGTAATGCTTGTGAAGCTCCAATACTCCTGCTAAATGAAAGGAAGCAAATATTTCACTTCTCCATGCGCTCCTTCGATGTAGCAAGAGCGGGGAAACGATTTGTGTGTTTTTGTTATTGGCATCGACCGCGCCAACCAGCTGACCAATGCAAAGACGTCAGTGCCAGTGCGGTTGAACACACTAAACATTTCGTAATGTTGTTCGTGCGTGATTATTACAGCACTTACCGCGCCCCGACTGATCCATTAAAAGACGCCGTCATTCTCAGTATGGAAACAGGAAATTAGTGCTACCAACAGCTACCAAAGTCCATGGTCTGGGACCCCCATGGTGTGTCTTTTTACTAGATAGGGCGGGGTAATGAGCCGCGGGTTAGCGACTCAATACCTTGCAGTAGTCTTATCTGCGATGTTGATGGGACACGAATGAATCCCGACACACAGGAGCGTGAATCGTTTGTGGTGCAGCTACGCGTGCACCAGAGGGACAGGCGTGCGACGGGAGCGGAGATGGTTGTATGTGCGGCCCCCGTTCAAAATTTTGCACGTAACGTGCGGTTGTTTCTTTTCCGTTGATGCACATGCACATGCACACGCACGAAGAAACAAAATGTGAAGTATTCCCGCTGTGCGGACGCAAACACGCATACACGGACATCTGGGACTTGGAATTTTCAAGCCGAAAATATATATCAAAAGTGATCTCGAGCACCATGTGTGAGCTCTCGGTTGATCAACCCTACACTGAAACCTATATAACGACCATTCGTGGCATGACCCAAGGAATTAAGAACCCGAAGCCTCGACCGAAATTATCTAGAGGTTCTTTAGTGCGGGCGCGTTCTGTATACCGGACCCCGGCACTATTGCGTAGAGTGCCTGAATAGTATGTATATCTATCGCTGTAGTGCCAACCAGCACTCACTATTATTGACAAACTGTTCTTCAGGGTTCAGAGTTTACGCTTTGCGGGGTCAACAGAGCACCACATGAACCGTAAATGGTGAAGTTATGGCTTGGGCGGCATGGGCAGACTTTGTCCCGATACGTGTGGATCCTACCCTCCCTGTTGATTACTCTACACAGGTTTTGTTGTAGATCAGGTTTTGTTGTATAAAGTTATCTGGGCGGGACAGACACGTACTTGATTGCCTGAAATGTTGCATAAACCCTTCACATGAATATCGCAAAGGATATGCCTAACAGCTGTGGCCATGGCGTCACAAGGATCAAACCACTCCGGGCAACTCAACAGTATTACTCCACAGCGAAAGGAAGACGCTCACTCAGGCACCCGATGCATCTTTGGCGGAAATAATGTTTGTGAAGCTCAAAACTGCATTCTCCTACGTATGTACACACTAAATGAAAGGAAGCCAAATATCACTTCTCCTTGCGCTCCTTCGATGTAACGAGAGCAGGGAAACGATGTTTGTGTGTGTGTGTGTGTGTGTGTGTGTGTGTGTGTGTGTGTGTGTGTGTGTGTGTGCTTTTATTATTAGCATCGACCGCGCTAACCGGCTGACCAATTAAAAGACGTCAGTCTTAGTGCGGTTGAAAACACAAAACACTTCTATCTACCATGAACTGGGACCCCGTGAGGGGGCAGCATGGGGCAGGCTAAGCCATCCTTCGGATCAAAAACAGAAACAGCAGCAACAGAAGAAAACTGCACCCGTCTACCAAGGCTATTACCTAGTACTCGAGTTCGTTTAGGAGTACTTTGTGTGTGTGTGTTTGTGATCATTAGCACCGATCGCGCCAACCGACTGACCGATGAAAAGACGTCGTCAGTCTCAGTGTAGATGCAGGACAATATTGCTACCAAAGCCCGTGGTTTGGGACCCCGTTGGTGTGCCTATGTCTTAGCATCGCGACCCCTTGTGTGTGCCGTTCTTATCGTGCCGGTTTTCTTAAGTGGCGATGACCGCGCTAACCGGCTGATCAATCAAAATAGGTCAGAGTCAGAGTGCGGTTGACACCACAACATTTTTCTGAAGGTCGTGATCTGGGGGTCCGTGAGGAGGCGTCATGGGGGAGACTACGCTACTCTCCGCACTAACGACAGAACGTCAGAGTATATTTCGCTGCGCACTAGCAGCAGTACGATGCTGCAGATGCCGGTAGGCTGTGTAGCCTACCTCAGAGGTTCACACTCTGTGCGGCTCCAACCGCGAGAGACTTGGAATAGAAATATGAAGATGTTTGTATTAATCGCTGGCTCCCGAGTCAGATGTTGCTGGTACTGAAGAGGAGTGAGAGTGGTGGGCGAGCTTAGGGCTGCACCACCCTTCTCGAATACAGGATAAAAAAGCCAATCGCACGAAGTTCCAGAATGCTTCCAGAATGATTTCTGGAAGCCCTCCTACATTCTAGAAGAGTATCAATTGCAACCTAGATCTAGAACGCTTCTAGAAACTTACAGAAGGAACCAGAAGTTCCCAGAAGGCTTCCAGAAGCTACACACGTTCTACGTAGATGTCCCGGTCAACCTTGACCTAGCATGCTTCCGGAATATTTCTAGAACAAGAGAATACATGCCACGGAGAGACGGATTCTTTTCTACCGCTACGCAGACTAGTTGCTGCGGTCGTATTCAAAAGGTCAAACCGTGTCCGACTACTGGTGGTCTCGACGCACGATTTTCCTAACACGGAAACGGTAGCAACTGACTGCATCTACCAAGGCTGCCGGTTTGTATGCGCGTTCCTGTCGGACGTCCGTTTTTTCACCACTCTGATCGACAATTTGTGCAATGATTTTTTTGGGGGGCCCCTCTCAAAAGTGTGTGTGCTTTTATTATTAGCATCGACCGCGCTAACCGGCTGACCAAT